AAGTCTTTAATCCATTTTGAGTTGATGTTTGTGTATGGGCTAAGTGTTCAGTTTTCAGTGTCATTCTTTTGCATCTGGATATCCGGTTTTCCCAGCACCATTTGTTGAAGAGACTGTCTTTCTCATGTATTCGTGGCACTCTTATCAAAGAGCAGTTGACCAGTATGTGTGTGGGTTTACTTATGGGTTCTCTGTTGGGTTTCAATGGTCAACATATCTGCCTTTATGCCAGTTCCATACTGTTTTGATTCCTGTACCTTTGAAATATGTTTTGAAACCAGAAACTGTGAAACCTCCAGCCTTGTTCTTCTTTTACAAGATTGCTTTGGCTATTTTATGCCCTTTATGGTTCCACATGAATTTTAGGATTTTTTTCCCATTTCTAAATATTTTTATTTATCAAAAACACTATTGCAGTTTTGATAGGGATTGCATTGAATCTGTAGATTGCTTTGGGTGGTATTGACATTTGTAACAATATTAATTCTTCCCATCCATGAACATAGGATGTCTTTCCATCTTTTTGGTGTGTCCACAAAATAACTATTAGAACTAATAAACAAATTGAGTAAAGTTGTAGGATATAAAATCAATACATAAAAATCAGTTGCATTTCTTTATACTAATATGACACTTTGAAAATGAAATTAAGAAAACAGTCCCACTTACAACAGCACTGAAAAGAATAAAATGCTTAGGAATATACTTAACCAAGGAGATGGAAGACATGTATGCTGAAAAGTACAAAACGTTGCTGATATCCTTTTGCCCAAACTTGACCTGTGCTTTTAGGACTATGCCAGGTCATGAGTAGGTTAGTCTGGTAAATAAATTCAGACTTTATTATAAATGGCTTACTAGTTTATCCTTCCCACATATTGACCAGGGGTATTTTAACCCAAAAGTGTGTATAATAAGATAACACTGACTGAGCTGCCTGCAGGTGAGATATTTTAAAATAAGTATTTAAAAACTATAAACTGCAACATTTGATTGCTCTGTTTTATGCTAATAAAACCATCCTTTTTGGGGGATCAACATCTGGACAAAATCACATACATGATCAGGTATAAATACAAATAGTTTTTCTTGGGAAGCCTCTCTGAGATTATTCAGTGAGAAGACGCCATGTTAGATTCCCGCACCTTGCGTACATACAGCAGCCTTTCAGCAAGTCTGGCAAATTAGTTTGGGAGGAAGTGCAATAATAAGGGAATGGTGCTTTTTTTTTTTTTTGATCACTTACTGTGTGCTAGATGATCTGTATACATATTCTATTTAATCCTTTTGAAAACTCTGTGAAATAGATGTTTGTCCCATTTTACAGATGAGGACGTTAAAGGTCAGGGAAGCAGCACCCAAGTTCACTTTTAATGTTAGGGCGGGGTATCCGCTAGGAGACTGTTTTCCCCCTTACACACCAGGTGGCCGGCTAGGGTATTGTTGGAGAAGAGAGGAGGGTGATGAGATTGAAACTCGAGTGAGCCTTATGAGTTATAAGCTGCCCTGTCCAAAAAGGCTTCCTGGAGGGGAGAGGTTGAAGAAACTTTTTGATATTCCTGAAGTGGAAACTTTTAAGGAGTAATCTCCAAATTTACAGCCCCAAATCAGGTTAAAGTACTGGTGAAATTAATCTTATGGGTCACTTAACTGTCCCCAGGTGCATCTTGTGTTCTTTAAGATCACTGAATGGGAGGACCTGGGGGCAGAGGATGGTTTTAGAAGCGGGGAGGTAGGTCTTCCACACGATTTGCCTCTGGACACTGGGGACACTCTATTCTGGTGATTACAGAAGGTTCCAGTCTATTTTTTTTTTAATAGAAACAACCACTTCAGGTTTATAAAAAGATCATACCCTCTCTCCACAGTTACTGAGCCCTGGAGGTTCTGGTTGTATGAGGGGAACTTTGCTGAGTGACGTCAAGATGCTCTCAAACGTCCAAAGATCCATTAATTTTCCCGTGGTGCGCCCTCACTGTTATTTATTTTGCTCCCCTGGGAACATCACTCCACTTGATTCTCTAGCTTTTCAGCTCATAATAAATTCATTATTAACCAAAGCCTAGCCTTATGCCTTAGCATGGCAATTAGCGAGAAGCCTTTAAAAATTAAATTGAATTAGGGGTGAATAGTAGAAAAGACATGCGCCCTAACATTTTTGTAATTGGCATGGATTTCTGTCACGTGCCAAGGTTTGATTAAATTATCAACTGGTATCTCTCCGTTGATCTACTTTCTGCGATGACAACACTCCCTCTGGCAGACTCCTCATGAATGGCTCTTTCCCTGCGGTTACTGTCCCACTGTGTCCCTAGGGCCCAGACAACTCAGCCCACGGTGACTGCTCACAGGCTCACAGAACCTCCCGGGTCACCGGCGGCCCAATTTCCGTGCTGTCAGTCTCAGCAAAACCCTTTCCTGCCTTGTCCCTTTCCTCCCGCAATGGCCAGTGACGAGCCTTGCCATCCGGGTGGTGGAAAGAAGTCCAGAGCAATTTCCTGTTGGGAGTGTGCTGATGCTGGACACGGTACGGCCCCTGGACGTGGGCTTCGGAATACCCTCCGATTAGTACTTTTTTGTCCTGATGAAAAACTTCCGGGCTTCCCGTATCGCCAGTCTCACTGGGGTCGCCCTGATTGAATCTAAATTCAGTGGGTAACAGGCGGATAACAGCCGTTTTTCTGACCCCATCCTCGCATCCTTCTCGCACCTCCCCTTCCCCCTGTATTTCTTTGAGCGAACTTAGGAGAAACGCACTGAGATCCCGCACAGCCACCCCCGGGTCTTCTTTGGCACCTGGTGGCCAATCGGGAAAACCTGATCCACTTGAGAGGGTGGCGGTTCGCGGGCCACTTTCAGAGCTGGAGAAGTTATTTCCCGCTGCCTTTATCTATGCGGTTTGGGAAGGGGAGCGTGTGCTCGCGGCGCAAACAGGAAAGCCTGACATCACGGAGCGGCGGGGTGGCGTGGGGAGGAGTCTGCGGCGCCCTCGCTCGCTCGCTGGCCGC